ATTAAATAAAAAAATCCAAAATTTGCATCTTATTGACCCGTTTTCTCATCATCTAGCTTTTATAACTTTTATAACATAAGCAAATTTGGAATTCAATTAAAAATGGAAAATGAAAACATCGAACTTGGTTAAATTACACACTACAAATCTATAATGCATATCAGTTTCAAGCAAATTATTACAAAATAGATGATAAAAAAAAAAAAAGCACAACCATTTAATTTAAACAGAACTTTCACCCATACACACTGAAAAATTAAGAAGAAACAATGCCCAGCTCAGCTTGGACTTATTGACGTGGAAAGAGGAGAAGACATCCGTCCAACATGAAACATCTTGAACCTGAAAGACAACAATAAGATGAGGTTATTTGCTCTGGTACGGTTTTTAGAATTAAATAATGAAGATGTTTAACAAGATTAGCAAAATTGTGTACCGACCTTCTCTGGCCCCTAGGAAGAGACTGATGGCTCAAACAACTTCAACTTTCTTCCCAATCGAGATACATGCCCTCTCACCATCGAACCAACTGCTGCTACAAGTAAATAAAGGCAGTCCTTCAAGTTGCTGAGCCGGATCCTCACGTTGTTGAACAATAGGAAACAGACATGTTTCCATGGATGATCAAACTTCATAGCCAAAACTTCCACAAAACCGATTGCCCCTCCAAGTTCCAATCCCAGTTTAAATGATTTCCAAAATTCAGATTTGTCTTCTTGATTGTCTTTGCCACCACTGTCTGTTGGTTTGCTCTTTGATTTTTCATCTCCCGGGCAAGTTGGTGTCAGAGGAAGCCCACAGAGTGCAGGATTAACAACAAATGAAGAAGCATCAAAGGACTGCATCTGGGTTGATGATGGGATTCTCCCTGAAAAGTTGTTGTATGACAGATTCAAAGTGCTGAGGAAATTTAATTGGGACATGCTCCAAGGAAGTTGACCTGAAAGCCGGTTATGTGACAGATCGAGTGATTCTAAGTCTCTCATTTGCCCAATATCTGGAGGAATCTTTCCTGTCAACTGATTTCTTGATAAGTTCAGTTGAACCAGTTTGAAGAGAACCGATGTCTGGATAGGAATCTCTCCTGTTAATTTGTTGCTTGAAAGATCAATGATCCTCAGATTCTTGAGATTTCCATTCCCATAATCACGCTCCGTTCCTTTCCACATTACGGATGCATTGTAAGCATAGCTTCGTTCGGACCAGGAATTATGATCATGGGCTAAACTCTCCTTTCGAGCTAATGCAGTCAGATTCTGGATGCACTGGGGTATGGTTCCAGATAGATTGTTGTTGGAGAGGTCTAGCAGCGTAATATTTGTCAACCAGCATAGTTGCAAGGGGATGTCTCCACTGAAATTATTGGATCTCAGAAGAAGGAAATTAAGTGAACTTAGCCTTTCTCCAATCCAAACTGGTATTATTCCAGAGAAGCTATTATAATTCAAGTCCAAAAATTGCAAGGCACTGCAATTTCCTAGAGCCCCAGGTATTTCTCCAGAGAAATTGTTGTTTTGCAAATGTAATGATTTAAGGCGAGACAAAGATCCAATAGAGCTTGGAATTTTCCCAGATAAATTATTTTTAGCCAAATTCAAAATCAGCAAACTTGTTGATCGTGTCATGCAATCAGGAAGCTTTCCAGATAGTTGATTGTGTGAAACATCAAGGACCACAAGGTTCCCACTAGTTATAGTACAGAGAGAAGAAATTGACCCAGAAAACCTATTTTCTGATAGGTTTATGTATGTGACATTAATAGGGAATACTGGAAATGGACCCCCCAACTTATTTTTACTCAAATCTATCCCAAGGCTAAAAGAATCAGCAAATTTTGTAGTTGAAAAATTTGGCAAAACTCCATAGAGATGATTGGAAGAAAGATTCACATGAAATGCTCTAGAAGATAGGTTCCAAAACCACTTTGGGATGCCATCTGAAATCTCATTCCCAGAGATATCAAGGTTAGAAAAGTTTCTCTGGGTCTTTAACCATCTTGGAAACTTTGGGCCCAACTTGCACGACGCAAGTTCTATCTCATCCAACTGGAATGGTGGAATCCAGTCACGGCTAAAGTTGAAGCTCAAAGAATTAAAAGACATGTCCAAGCCCCGTAACTTAGATAGTGTTGAGAAGTGTGATTCAGTGATCGTCCCATTCAAAGAATTGGAAGAAATTCCTAACCACTCAAGCTTTGACAGGAGTCCAATACTTTTGGGCACAGTACCACTCAGTTTATTATTGTAAAGAGATAACCATCGCAATGAGGAGAAGTTCTTTATCATCTCAGGCAGTGGTCCCTTAATTTTATTTTCATCCAAATATAATCCTTCCAAGGAGAGTCGTAGACATCCAGATAAGTTACCAATAAGTTCTTTAAGCATTTCGTCTAGATTGTTATTAGATAGGTTTAAGGACCTTAATTTGCACAGGTTCCCAAAGGATTTTGGAATCCCTCCTTCAAATTGGTTGTCACTGAGATCTAGGGTTTCCAGAGAAGTCATGTAACTAAGATTTTCTGGAATCAAACCTTGAAAAGAATTGTCAGACAAGTTGAGACTAACAAGGCTCTTGTTGAATTTGGACAACCATTGGAATGTGGAAGCACTCGGATTATTAGAGCTTAGGTCAAGGACAGCGAGCAAAGTAGATGTATTAATCATGGGGATAGATTGAGGAAGGACATATGGAAGATTACATCCACATAGATATAAGATGTTTAGACGAGGAAGCTTATTAATTACCTCTAGCCAGGAATTGTTGACCTTAGTAAGGTCATTTCCACTCAGATCAAGGTATTGCAAGTAAGAAAGAGGAGAAAGCCACTCAAGATTTTTTATGTCGAATTTGTTATACCTAAGATCAAGAGACTGCAAACTTGTGAGGTTTGCAAGCTGACTAGGAAGAGATCCACTTAAATTACAAAAACAAAGAACAAGATGTTGTAATTTGTTGAGGGAACCAATAGACTCTGGAACAGGACTTAAGTTGAAATCAGTGCAACTGAGGTCTAAATAAGTTAAATGGTACAACTCAAATAGGGAAGGACTAAGATTACCTTTTAACCAAGGAACTTCAAGCACGGTGACGTGACCAGTTGTGTTACTACATTGAACTCCTTCCCATTTGCAACACTCTTTTTTCTCTTCTTCACTGCCCCATGAAGAAAGCTTGCCATATTCATCAACTAGACTTTGCTTAAATGCAAGAAGCGCCTGTCTTTCACTCTCTATGCACCTAATTTCATAATCACCAGTTGTTGAATTGAATCCGATAGAAGTTTGCATATACAGGAAAATCAGGAGTGCATAGACAAGTTGAAGGGACCTTCCACCCAAAATCATCATATTGGAAGTGATGAGAATGAAATCAGAGATGAAGATAGCGTATGTGAAGGAAATATGGTAGATATGTAAGATCTTGGTAATGGTTAGATGAGTTCTCAGAACCATTCTACCTAGCCACTTATATATAACAGCAACCAAACATATAAAAGGTTGAAAAAGAGAACATCAAAGAAGATTTAAAAAAGAGAAAAAAAAAAAAAAGAAAAGAAGAAGGAAATGGATATTCATTGGTTGTAGGGTGGAAGATTAAAGGAAGATGATAGCTTGGAAATTTTGAACTGAAAGGTGCAGTGGACCAGATGATTTGATCTTAAAATTCAACAAATCAATTGCCAACTTATTTAAAAGAAATCGAAGACCATTGACTTGGCGACTTATGTGCTCTGGTCTCTTTCGAGCTTGAAAACAAGCCATAATTCAATTAATCAACTTTGGAATAAAGGCGGTCCTTTAAGTTGCTTGGCAATAACAATACGACTATACCGCCTTCCTTCTGCCCCACATCTTTCATTTTTTCCATCTCATTAATTATCAACCTAGTCTTTCAGGCACCACGTCATTGGTTGTCCAATTTTGCCTATTCATTTATTCCAACAAATAGACCATCATATTGTTTACCAAAAATTCTAGAACGGCTATACGTGCGTAAGATCTAAGCGCGAAGCATGTCAATTTTTTTTTTT